CGATTTTAGTTGTTACTTATTACTCCCTATGTTTACTTACTAATAATATTTTTTCTTTATAAAAAACCAGAAACTTGTACAAACATTTAATTTAAATTACTTACACTGTCGTAAAGGCATCCACATATATATCTCTGACTATATATTATATTTAATGATAAAATAATTAATATGATTTAGTTGTTACTTATTATTTCTTCCGTTTCATATTAATATTGTTACAGAGAAAAAATTTTGTTACAAAATAAATGTCGTTTTAGATTTTCAATACAAAATATATTAATTTTATTCTTCAATTTATTTTCTGTTGGTTGATATATGATTTAATGTATATGTAATAATACTTTTATGTAAAAAATATATAAAATAAATTGTTTACTTAATCTGTATTTACAAATCTAAACAACACTTAAAATGAAAAGAATGAGTATTTTTTAACTTTAATTTAGTTGTTATTTACCTATCAAATTGTCACACTTTTGTTTGTAAATTTGAAATCTATGTTTAGCAATCCCACAACACTAGTTAAATGAAGTTCTCTTCCCCGTCAATAACACATTACAATTAAACAAACATTAATTAAATGAAGTTCTTTTCCCCCTTTAATGATTACTATTGCAATTCTACAATATTACTAGTATTATTCAAGTATGATTTACGATAAAGCCAGTTCAAGAAAAAAAAAAAGGAACCATAATGGAAAAAAACGGTAATCTGGATTCAAACTACGAAGCACGTTTTATTATCTACATTCTCAATAATTATTTTTCGTTAAATCCTAATTTACTGACAGTAGTCAAAATAACATTAAATTAATGCGAAATGCCATAAAGCATACGATCATGTGTGTGAATATATACAGACATACATGCAATATGATGGACCTACACTAATTATTTCTCTAAAATCTGTAACCAATGAATGGAAAACACGTGGATTTTAATTTGGCAGGAATAATTGAGTTCCTGCTTTAAGAAAATAGATGCTTTTCCAGAGAAAATGAAATAAATTTTGAAATATTTTATTTATTTACTTTGAGATCGTTTACACCAGTAATTTGATACTCTGTTTAGTTGAACTTTCTTATAATATTTTTTAACATAACTTTCTTAACAACTACGCCCTCCAAAAGTGCCTTCGTGATGAGCTTCCCAAACCAGCATTTTGGAGATGGTTTTAACCATACAAAGACTTTTACAATCTACATACCATTCCTTTCTCAGATGAATTAAAACATTATGGTAATCTCAAATACACTTCTTCTTTCAAATCTTCCAAGTCTCCATGAAAAAATACAAATTTATAGTATTTATTAAGAAATAATCTAATTGAAAATAAATTGTATATTTCTTAATAAATTCTATGAATTTTCATTTATCCACTGCCTAAATTAAATAAATTTTGGAATTTTCTAGACATTGAGATCTTGACAAAGGAAGGAATAAAACATAAGAGCAAAAGGAAAGCTATGTCCTTCGAAAATTAATAATAGGGGCACATAATCCGATCAATCGTTAATATCTAAGCCAAAAATCAAGCTTTGTTGCTCTCTAGTTTCAATGTTCCCTTAATTAACTAATCTGAAAAGGTTTAGTTCCCAATATAGCAATTAATGGATCAGTTAGTTACTGAGTAATGGTAATTCGTTTGGCGAGCTTAAGGGTTAAAGAAACCTGCTTTTGGAAGTATAAATGTGGCTCGTCAGATACAAAAAAAAAAAAAAAAACTAACTCGTTCAATAAACTAAAATAGATTTGGATAGTTTTGAAAGATACTGTACTAAGGAATTAATATTTCAAGAAAATTTAGTTAAGGCTGTACTCATTTAACTCATAGCCCTACGTAGTCAAGATTTTGTTAAAAAAAAAAAAAAAAAACTCACAACAGTACGTCTAAAAACTGAACGCTCAATGCACAAGATATTTTTAAATATTTTCTAAAATCTTGTAAGATAAAATGATACAATATAGTATCATTTATTTTGGTTTGGCATAATTTACAGTTTATTGTTATATTATTTGATGCATTTATGATGGTCAGTGAAGAAAAGATTATGTTATATCGATGGTCATGTGAGGAGCGAGTAGTTAATATTTTCACAGGCGACAACTCAAAGAAAAGTGTTAAGAGTTTATTTAATTGAGAGGGAATATTTGGGAGAATGAAAAGGGAATTAGAAGCAAATCTTAATGTTCTTTAGCGTCTACTTGCTTATGCTTACGCAATGAAAACAAACAAATTCTAATTTCTGGCCGAATATTTTTCTGAGGGATTATATAAATTAAAATAAAAGTAATTATACGTCGCAATAATTGAATAAATGCTTGCATGATACATGGGTTTTGTGCAAATACGTACGAGCGTCTTGTATTGTACACACGGATGCGTATCTGCAGCTATGAGAGAAAGGCAGGGAAAATGGCTTATTCATACCTAAACATGAGTATTTGGAAAAACATACCTAATTTTTTTTTTTTAAAACATACTAAATTTTTTTTGCATGCAAAAACATACCTAAACTTTCCTTGTGTGTGAAAACATATTTAAACTATACATAATTTCAATTACATACACGAACTTATAAAATATATGTTCATTCATACGTTGACATTAAAATTATCTAGGATAATCTCTTTTAATTAATTTTCACAAAAAATACTTTTACAATAGAAAATGATCAAAAAAAATTTTTATTGAAGAACAAATATATTCTTATACTTATGAGCTTAAATAACTCTAGACTTTTTTGTTTAAAGTTAAGGTAGGATTTTGGCCTCGAGTTCAAAATATTCAAGAATAGAAAATAAATATTAAAAATTTTAAATAAAATTTTGATAAATATTTTTAAAAGCATTTTCAAATTTCGAAAAGCATTTTAATTTCAAAAAGAAAATTAAAATAAAAACTAAAAAAATCAGAAAAACAATTTTCAAAGGAGAAAAGATTTATTAAAAAAATGCGAATTTGAAAAACTTATAATCCAAATGGTACAATTGACAGTAAAGAAATAAATTTTATTTAATTTTTATATTTATTATTTATATATTTATAAATCAAATGGTATAAAATTCTTTTGTTTCTTTTTAAGGTTTTTAGTTGCAACTGATAGTAAATCTTCTGGTCTAAAATCACAAATTCCAACATATCTTGGGCTTTTATACAACATGTTTGTATGTGAAGCTCACTAATCAACCACAAATTATTCTAGTTAGTATCGTTAACTATGATTAAATATTGTTAATGATAATGTATGAATTAGCGTGGATTTTATAAGTTCATGTATGTAAATCAAATTATGTATAATTTAGGTATGTTTTCACAAAAAAAAAAATTTATGTGTGTTTTGCACATTAAAAAAATTAGATATGTTTTAGCACGTAAAAAAAGTTTAGATATGTTATTTCTAGAAACTCATAGTTCGAATATGAATAAGTTGTTATCCCGAGAAATGTATTTTTTTGCAAAACCTTATCTAATCGAATCAACAACAACATAAGCGAATCAAAATTTATTAAATAAAATCCTAGCACTCAGTCAAAATTCATGATAGAAATCAGGTATAGTTACATGTTCTAAAACGATATATCACTTTAATTTGGTTTTCATATACTTCACAAATTGGTCAAACAAGTAACCGGTTGACTCTATAACCTACATATCTACACGAGCTATTCATGAACTCAAGAACGTACTGATATTTAATGTATATTTATCCTTTTAGGTATAGTTGAACAATCTACGGTCGAAACTTGAATTTGTTTGATTCCAAAATCGTATAAAATGAAATGAATATAACAAAAGAAAAGTGAATAGAGAGAGTGATGTGAGAAGCGAAGAGAGTGGGGGAGAAAATAGAAAAGGAGTCAGAGAGGACACAGTATCGTCTCTCTCTCTCTCTCTCTCAGCATATGTATCCCGTCGACTCCGGGGTACCAAAATCAAAGCACTCTATTTTTTATTGTTGATTTGAATTAAATATTTATATGTTTTGTGCTTGTTTTCTTATACCAGTTTTTATTAATTTATTTATACAACTTTGGCTTTTGCTTTGACTATAGACTTAGATAGGACAGAAGAGAGCGACCCTTTATTCTCTCTCTTCTCTTGTATTCTTCTCCAACATATTTAACAATATTCTTCATCATAATCTGTGAACATATAATTTTTTATACACCAACATAGAATTTGATTTATTACTGAAATTGTTAGGGTTCGATATAAGATTAAGTTAAAGTGTTTTTTTTTTGTTTAAAGATTAAGTTAAAGTTTGTTTGACGTAGATATAAATCCACATACTTCATATATTGTTACCAAAATAATTTTAATAATTAGAGAAAATGATTAAAATAAACTTAAAAAAGTTTTTATCACAAATATAGACTTTAACAATTAAAATGACCAAAATAACACTTAAATGTTTTTTTAAATATACATTTATACCCTTGGGTTAACTAATACTAATTATTTTTTGTTTAGAGTTAAGGAGTGGGGTTTTGGGGATAGGGTTTCGAATTTTAAAAAACTAAAAAAACTTAAAATTTTCAAAATAAAAAGTGCTATTTTGGTCATTTTAATTTTTGAGATCTATTTTGTGATAAAAACTTAAAAGAAGACTATTTGAGAAAATTGTTCTTTTAATTATCAATGAAAGCGGTTTATCATAAATAGAGAATTTAAATTTTAAATCGATGTATTAATTAAATAGAAAACAAAATTTATTTTTATTAATATTTTGATTATTTTAGCTAAAATAGATAAATTTTCAGTAGTCAATAATAAAACAAAAATATTAAAGGGATGAAGCGGTAAAACATGGGTTTGCTTGGTGAAAGAAAGGTGAAAAGGAACAAGTTTAAAAAATCATCCGAAATTAAACAAAAGTTTACAATATTTTGGAATATAGGGAATTACAGTTTTACCCTCTCTCAACTATCGTTTTCCAAGATATACTCTCGAGGAACATCTCATACATACACACTTACATTGATACATACACATGTACATTAGCACACATGTCTCTCTCTCTCTCTCTTACCTGTTTTAATTTTCCTGGATTTAGTTTTGTTCCTTTTTCTCTTCTGCCTTTGCTTCACAACACACATACCTATCTCTCTCTCTCTGCGTCTTACTTTGAGCATGTTTGTTTCTTCAAGAACATCATAACTCAACTTCTCTCTCTCTTTCCTCCTCCTTATATTCCTCTTCAAAGCTCCTCTTTAACTTCATCCCTCTCACTTTTTCTTTTCTTTTTGAGATATAGAGAGAGAAATTGAGGAAAATAATATCAAATCTTTCAGACACCCTTTTGACTTCTTTGCTCAAAGAGAATCCCTCTTTTATATTTTCTCCCCTTTGAGAAAAATCATTTTAAATTCAGAAGCAAAATCCTCAAGAGAAATAAACAAAAGAAAACTCATCACCCACCACCATCATCATCATCACCTTCATTCATCACCATCAACAACAATAGCAAGAGAGTTGTCTTAACTATGTCCATGGAAGGAGTTTTTCTAGAGAAACCAAAATCAAACACAACAACAACAACTACCACTCTCCCTGATCTTTCTCTCAACATCAGTCTTCCAGATATTACTTCAAAAGAACATTATAGAAGACCATCCCAAACCGACAACAACAGATCATCATCAAACTTCGAACTCTCCTTGTCTCATCACAACAACCCTAGTTCGAATCCAACCTCAAGAATCATCCACTGTCCTGATCCAAGAAACCTTAATCTTTCTCATCATCAGCATTACAACAGCCCCATCCTTAACGGTGGAAGTCTTCTTCAAAGGGTCGATGAATCAGATGTTAATAATATCCACCGTCCGATTAGAGGCATCCCAATCTATCAGAACCGTTCATTCCCTTTCCACCAACAAACCTCTTTACCTTCTCTTGGAGGAGACTTGGATCAAATCTCAATATTAAACTCATCTTCTGGCTATAACAACGCTTACCGATCGTTACAATCTTCTCCAAGGCTAAGAGGTGTTCCTTTGCATCATCATCATCATAATCACTATGGAGTCGTTGGATCTTCAGAGTCTTCTTCACCTCATCATCATGGGATGATCAGATCAAGATTCTTGCCTAAGATGCCGACAAAACGGAGCATGAGAGCTCCTAGGATGCGTTGGACTAGTAGCCTCCACGCCCGGTTTGTTCACGCCGTTGAGCTTCTAGGCGGCCATGAAAGTATGCATACTTTTGCATTATAATCTCATTCGGAATGTCTTTCCTTTTTTCTTTATTCAATTTTATTCTACAAGGTTGATATGTTCTTGTTCTTGTGACTATAGGAGCAACTCCAAAGTCGGTTCTTGAGCTCATGGATGTAAAAGACTTAACATTAGCTCATGTGAAGAGCCATTTACAGGTAAATCTACACTCAACTTGAAACTAAATTGAACAAAGATATTTTTTGTGTTTATACCCATGGAAACAAAAAAAGATAGCTTTGTTTGTTAGTTTTGTGTTTTCTCTCATTTTCTTATTGGTTCATCTTCTCCCCTATTATAAGTCTAGTCAAGGTAGTTGTGTACAAATTAAGATTCTCTCTCTATTAGGGATATATTTCATAGTTTCATCAACCATCATGACTCTTTCTTCTTTCCACTGCACAAAACCAACTCTTAATCAAGATACTATGAATAGTTTTGAAGCCTTTAAAGCTTGTGCACCAGCTCTAATCTTATTTATCTTCTTGCCTTTAGAAGAGATGGCACAATCGCCAAGAAATTGAAGCAGTTGAATGAATTTAAAGAGAGAGTAGTTATAGCTTTAAGAGACTGAAACCTTTGGAAAAATTGTTAAACAAATTGAGACTTGAGGTGATAGAGTTTATTTTGATTATCTTTCTTATTTTAAAATAAAATAGGAAGAGGGGACAAAAGTAGTCATCATTACTCAATGATAATAATACAATCTTTCAATTACTCAACCTTCTTTCAGACATCAACCTCGTGGTCTTAAAACTATAAATAATTCATTAATCGTACAACACTAGTTTCAAGACAAACCCAGAAAACCACACATTTGCATATATATGTGTCCAAAAAGAATTATATAGCTTATTTAATTTTATAAAGCTCATATGTGTCTGCATATATCATATACATATATGTCTCCAGTTTTGTCAGCTGTATCATAAATTTCAACTAATATACTTAGTTTATCAGGATCTTTTGTCCGTTTTATTTGTTTTGTACTGTAGCCTTACTTAGATTTATGATTTGGTTTTAGATATCTAATGCCTTTTACCTTTTTTTCTTTCTCTCTTGCAGATGTATCGAACTGTAAAGACCACTAACAAACCTGCTGTTTCATCAGGTATGTGTTATTCCGAACAACTCGACCTGACTTTATACACATACACACAATGCATGTTCACATTTCTTTAGAATAGCTTTTTCAGCTTTATATATGCTAAAGACATGGCTTGTTAAAAAAAAAAAGGCTCAAGAGATGGCGCTTTATAATATGAAAGTATACAGTAAAGCTTTGATTCGCCAACATAACTCAATCAGATATTAGGTTCATTACATATAATCACTGCAGTAATTTACTGTCTTACGTACTGATCATGATAACTGCTCTCAATAAATTTCCAATTAGATTTGAATATAATATATATATATATATATATGAACGTGGAAGTGTTACTTTTCTTTTTATTTTATTTTATTTTAGTATTTAGTTCCACTATTTCTACTATACATTCCCTTTTCCCGAAAATAATTGGAAAATAAACCCTACGAGATTGGTCAAGCTCAAGGCATTATCTTTCTTTTGATTAAAACCCTAAAGTTAATGATGAAGTTTTAAAGCAAATTAACCTCATGATCGACAATGCTGATATTCTCTAATAAAACGAGGAAGAAAGATTAAATGACTAGTAAAGCATATAAACTAGTAAATCTTTGCCTTCCAGAATATTCTTAAATCAAATCTGAATACGTAATTGTTCGTACACTGAAATAGATAGCAAGTCTTTTATCTGATTGTGTATTTTTATTGCGCACCATAAGAAAATCATTTTAATCTTTGCTATTTGGCACAGTTTCCAAGTTTTAGGGGGTGGGGGTTAAATTAGATTTTAGTCATGCCAAAAGCTGAATAAATATTAAGGAAAAGCAATTTCTTCACTGCATTGTCTTTTACCAAAAGCTTACAATAATTCTACAATTTTAAACTAGAACCCATAAAGGGTAAAAAGAATAGAGATGAAACTTGATAAAAGTTAATATTATTTTTCAGATGGGTCAGGAGAAGAAGAAATTGGCATAAATGGAAATGAAGTTCATCATCAATCAGCGACAGATCAAAGGGCACAATCTGACGATACTTCTCCCCATCAAGAACTTGACTTTCCTTCCACACAACCTCGTTGGAGTAACTCTTCACGGTACGTTTATACGTATTAAAATTTTATTATACATATATCTATATTCATTTGTAATTCACACGATATGTATATATATAACACGGGTTTTCGCTAGTCTAAGTGAGATTGACCAAATGTAGTATAGGATTTAGGGTTCTCTTACCTAATTGCTCCTACTTCCTACCAAGTTCATGTAACAGTCCTTTGTTTATCTCAAATACATTCATCTAACAACAATAGAACTTTGGATAATTTTTTCTGCTTGTTAATTTTCTTTGTTTGAAGTAAACCAATTAAAGTGGTAGTTTAGGTTATAGTGAGATGGTATTGTTTAGTATCTAGGGTTTGTACCTGATTATAATTACACGACACGAGTTGTAAATTTATTTGGCTTGAGGTCCTTGTGGTTCATATTTTATAATAAAATTAGAACTTTGTTAGTATGTTTGGCATGTAGATTATGGGATCAAAACATACAAAAAACGTAATTCATGACTACCATTTTTCTAGTTAAATCGATAGATTTTTTTTTTTTTGAATAAAAACAAAATGATCAAGTTGGTTTACCATTTTTAATTGGTGTTTGGATTTGAGAAAAATACAAGTAAAATAAAAATTATATAAACTAATAATGCAGAAAATATTATATTTCATTAATTTACTTATAAATATTTATAAAACTATAATTAGTGGTATAAAAACAAATAAATGATTTTTATTAGTTTATTGAGTACTAGTGTATAGAGATTGTATTATCAATTGTTAATGATATAGTTGGCAGATTAAGCAACCTCTTTTGTTATCTTGATAAAAGTAATTACTTTGGTTATGTAGTTTGTAAATACAAATATAAATTTTATCCATGCACGAATAGATAAAAACATCGTTGATTTATTTTTTTAAAATCATGTAACAGAGAGACATGGCCATTAAGTAATAACTACTCAAACGACATAGATACGATGATCAGAACGTCATCAACATCTGTGATCTCTCACCATCAAAGATCCATCCTTCAAAATCAGGTTCTAATAATTATTTACATAACCATATTGTTTTTCTTATGTCTTTTTCTTAATTCTAACTAAAGTAAACTCGCAGGAGCAACAAAGAGGGAACGATCAAACAAAGAGGTGTGGAGATCTTAGTTGTAACAATCCAAGTTTGGAGTTTACATTAGGAAGACCCGATTGGCACGAGAAATGACTTTCTTGATCCATTTCTGTATTTGAGTATATATTGGTTTCTCTCTCTCTTTCTATATATATTTAGAACACGTATGCAGCTATATATCGTTGTGAAGATGAATCTCTCAGCTAAAAAGTTGAAGAAGACGTAGAGAGCGCCAAGCCGCTCAAGAAGTGTTGATTTTTTGCAGAAAGGAAGAAACGTTGGAGACTCTTCTTCTCAAGTTCCATTGATGGTTTGATTATAAAGTGGATGATCAATGTATGAGTTCTTTTTTTGTTTTGGTGCTATTTATTTCCCCGAGGTTGATCTTATGATATATAATTCGAAGATCACCAAAATTTGGTGAAAGTTTCTTCTTCTGTTTTCTTATTGGAAAGCCTCTTGGTGGGTTAGAGGGTTTCTAGCTATCTTTGGGCTTCTGCAACATGAATGTAGAGTGAGACCTGAGTTGAGATTTTATATGTATACTGCTCATTGTTAAGTACATGCACACACAATTGTATGCATAGAGATCCAGACATTGATTACAAATCTTCACTATTGATTTCTTGAAAATATTCTTCTGGTTCTCTGCTGATTCACAACAGAGCTCAGTACATAAAAACATTAATATAAACTTCCATTAACAACACGCTAGACCAAAACTCTGAGTTTATCTACAAACTCTGTAGAGACTTCTCTCAGCTAGATGACTCGATGTTTACCTCTCGCTCCCTGTGTAGATGATGACTGAAACTGTTAACCTGAAATGGCTAAACCCGTCACTTGCTTAGCCAAGCGCAGGCTTCCTCTTGCTCCCAACCACACAGCATAGGAAAACCCAAGTAACCAGTACTAGATATATAGATACCAGGAGCTTGTCTTCCACGTGCTGTTTCTTTTTTCTTTTTGGGCTTTTATGTTTGGGCTTGTAACGCTTCTGCTAAAGCATATCTGTGTGTATAAGCATGGTTTTGAAAATCCAGATCGAATCGGCCAAGTCTAACCGTTCCGAACTAAAACTAATTGGTGATAAGTGGTCCATCAATCTTTTATACTACTAAGGATCATTTTCAACAGCCGATTGGGGACACTTTGTATCTAATAAAAGGAGATAAGTAACCGAACTGTGTCGACTTTGATTTCAAATATTCATATTTCCTAAGGAACATGTGGTCTAAAAATATTTAATTTATGATATACAAACAAACACTAAGTTTGCATATAGCGGGCAAATAAAGCTTATGTCCAAACTGGTTGTGGTATATGTAAATCTTTTAAAGCATCACATCTTGCACGCCTTACTGTCACCACATGTCTCCACCTGCCAACATAAATTATCTCCTTGCTTTTCTTCGAGTAAAGGTTACGAAAGAAAAGCTATTTAGCTAGAAGCTACTTTGTGAGTTTTCTTTCTCCTTACCTTATTTTTCTTTCTCGCTTCAAGAATAGCTTCTATAGGTGGCCGCCCTATTCAACAAAGATATCAAACTTTTTAACGCACAAACAAAACTAAAATGACTTATAAGCATGATTCACGTCATGACGAATACCTGTGACCTTAAGTCGATACTTGGCCCAGAAATCATACACTGCATCAGCTACCTTTCCTATCTGCAAGTAATATCATATATGTTATCCATGAACGCAGAACAAGACAAGACACGATAGGAAGGGGAAAGATTCGCATGTATCAAACTTCCAAGAGAGAGGCTTTACTGGTTCAAATTTGGTGATGGTGTAAACCCATCCAAGCCCAACCTCTTCATACAGTCTCCTAAATGCCTGAAAACGTTTCACTAAATTAATTTAATACTCCCTCCGTTTCGAGTTAATTGTCATTCTAGAGTATTTATTAATTTTATATGATATTTTATTTTTCTATTGTTTGAAAATGGGTTAGATGTATAGATAATTGTGTTTTTTTTCTTGAAAATATGTAAAATTAGATATTTTCTTAATCATAAAAACTTAAAATGACAACTAAAGTCAAAGAGACATGGATTTACTGTAAACCAATGATGTATAAGCTTTTACCTCCACACCCGTTATCACATTTCCATCGGACTGAATCGCGTGGATCTGCCCCATAACCTGATAAAAAAAAGTCTCGATCAAATCCGAACCAGAACATTAAAAAAAAAACAGAGGATGAAAAGAAAACAATTTTACTGTTTTGTAATCAAGCCCTTGATTTTCTTGCGGGGAATAATCATTGGAACTGATGTCGACGAACTTTATTTTTCCATGTTCCTCATCCCTTTCCTTAAGCATATTAACCTTTAAGACAAGAAAACGGAAACAGATCAATTAAGTAATTTGCATGTTTCGTAATGAACATTTTGAGATAAGATGTTTATTAATTATTACGAAGACCTCACGCATACAGAGAGGGCAATCCCCATCGTAAAGCATTTTGATTTTCCAATTCTCAGGTTTTGGTTTTGACTCATCCTTGTTCTTCAATTTTGTAACGGGGGAATCAACACTTGCTCCTTGTATTATTCCCCTACTTTGATATTTAAACCCTACAAAGAAAATCATAGATATATATATGTAATATGCCAATTTCACTTGTTCAATTTTTTTGGTAATTATGTTACCTTTTGGGATGATTGGAGGCTTGGAAATGGGATAAAAATGGTGCGATGACAGAGATTGAAGAGAAGGGTTGCTTTGGTGCTTCCATATTACGAACGCAGCAGCAGCGGTTCCTCGCGTTGCCATTTTGTTTTCTCTTCCAGAAACTTTTTCTTTTTTATTTCGCACTTTTCCGTCCAAAATCATTCTCTTCTCGGTTATGCATGCATATGTGGCATAATCAGCGACGCTAATTTAAATATGGTCCTGAGTTGTACACGTGGCACAGTTTACATCCATATTTGTTCACCTGTTGTACCGTTGAATTGAAAACATCTAGTGTAGCTTTAATGGTTTTTTTTTTTTAGCTTATTTGGGTACTAACCAAATCTGGAATATATAAATTAAATAAATATCATTCATTTTGATATGATAAAATTTCTGACGTTTATAAATATCATTAGTATGGTCGGAGTACTTTTCATCGTGGTTAATAAGATTAAAATGTTAGTTCTTTTATCATGATTAATAGCAAAAACTTCTTTTTAGTTCAACTTAACTATGTTGTTACACAAATTAATATCTTTTTATTTTATATAAAAGTAAATTCGAATAACCAGAAGAAATTTAGTTTTAAATTAGAAGAAAATAATCGATGAAAACATGACATTTTAGTTTTATCTATTAATAAAATATAGTTAAATAAATATTCCAATTGAGATATTATACTTGGTTGATCAATATATGAGATAGTATACGAATAATTAATGAACATATTTTCTTTTAGTTAATGAAGATATTTAACTAATAACTTATTTTATTTTACTTTATTTTCAACCTAATTCAAATTTCCTCAAGAATATACATTATATATATGAAACCTGTGATGTTTTTATATTAAATACATTTAATAATAGTCATTGGAGGCTTACACAAATTTGTTATTAAGAATTTGAATAAGATAAATTAGTGATCAATACTTTGTTATATGCTTGTTAAAAGGTTATGCATCTAACCTGTTAATCAAAATATGAAGAATAAAAATCTCTGGTAGCTTGGAGTCTCCCCTCTCTCCCATCTTCTTCAACCATCATCCTAGAATAGAGTTTGGTTTATGCGGACAATCTCTTTGTAAGTTTGAAGCCCCTTCTTCTCATCATTCCATTCTTCTTCGTTACAATCAATCTGAAACACAGACCTAAAGTTCAGTCGATCAGCTTTGATTAGAGGAAAAAAACTCATTATGTGAAGACGTATAACAATAATACTCCACTGCAAAAAAAAAAAAGACTAACAGAAATTCAAAATTGATAATAAATGATAATTAAATGTTGAGGCTCAAAAATTTATCACCTGCTCATTTGCTAAATAACAATTATAGGAACTCATCTTCACCACTAACCAATGTACACCAGTGATTTTTCAGAAGTCATCTATAAATTTTGTTTTTTTCATAATTATGTTGTACATAATATTAATCGTTTCTGTAACTTCAAAAACTTTCTGAAGATAAGAAACATCAAAAAAAATTCTTAAAAAAAAGATAATTATAGGGAAGACACAAGCATTATTGTGAAAGAAATTAAATTGTTTGTAATAATTTTGTAAACAAATTTGTTATCAGAGTGATTCTAGTGTTGTTGATGTATATAGGGAGTTGAGATTGTGTTGTCGCGGTTGAGGCAAAGAAAACAGTTTTGCTTTCTATTCATTTTACGTTGGAGAATAAATAAAGTGTTTTAATTTATCAATTGTTTTTTATAGTAATTGTTGGTTGAATTACAGAAAAAATGATAAGAATAATTTAATTGTTTTTATTTTTATTATTTTTTTAAAAAATTCTAAATGTCATGTTTTTATTGGCCAGGTGACTTGCAATGTAGTACATAAAGGAATCGGTTTTATCCTTTCATTTCCACTTATTTGGTAAACGTTTAAATGACAGGACAAGGAAAAATATGGACAAGAATTTGCCTTTTTAAAAAGAAAAAACGAGAAGTGATTAAGTGCTCAAATAAAGTGGATGATCAATGCATGACTTCATTTTTGTTTTGGTTCTATTTATTTCCCCGAGCTTGATCTTATGATATATATAATTCGAAGATCACCAAAATTTGGTGAAAGTTTTTTTTTCTTCTTCGTGGAAAGCCTCTTGGTGGGTTAGAGGGTTTCTAGCTATCTTTGAGCTTCAGGAACATTAAAATGTAGAGTGAGACCTGAGTTGAGATTTCATGTGTATACTGCTCATTGTTAAGTATATGCACACACAATTGTATGCATACAGAGATCCAGACATTGATCACAATTGATTTCTCCAAAATATTCTTCTAGTCTCTGTTGCTTCACAACAAAGCTCAGTGACAGTACATGTTTACATTTCGCTCCTTGTGTTGATGATGACTGAAACTGTTACCAGAAATGGCTAATCCCATCAAGCACATGCTTCCTCTTGCTCCCAACCACACAGCATAGAAAAACCCAATCCAACCTGATTAAATACAAAATTCGTAGTAGCATTCTATCAATACACAAAAACAAAAAAAACTTAAAGAAAAGGAAGCAAAACAGAATCAAAGGCAGAGTATTATTATTACAAAACCTGAAGCAATCAAGACGGTAACAAGAGCTGAAACTGTAACGGTAGAGATAACGAAAGCAGCAACGGATAAAACTCCGATGTAAACAGCAGTCAAGGAGAGAAAGAAGAGAGCCAAGAAGCCACCAGCAACAGCAAGTGAAACCAGAAGAGAGATTACGATTGCATTAGCTGTTGCAGCTACAAAGAAGAGCGCGAAAACAACCAAAGCCAGGATCGTATTTTCAACGTGTCGTTTCTCTTTTTGGGCTTTTATTTATTTGGGCTTGTAAGACCATCTGCAACCATGTACTCGTGTAAAAATCCTTATAATTTTTTTTTATTATTTTATTTTCAGCTAAAAAAAAAATTAATGGCGAGCCGCCACCTAACAACAGGATCCGCAAACACTAATGTTACTCTCAATGAATTGATCCTTAAATAAAGATATGAAGAGGCCAATCCTTAATGTATTGGGGACCCATCAAATTTTTTACTATTTTTTTACCTAGGTTTTGAGCTAAAAACCTTCATTGCACTTGCCCTAAGAGCATCCACATCAATGAACCCTCTCTTGAGGTTCATTGAATCAATTTTTTATTATTAAAATTTTTCTGTTTTCTTTTTGATTTTTTTTTTAGAAAAAAAAAAACTTAAACCACTCTTAGGCCGTCACATGATGAACCTTAGGAGAAAGGAGTTCACCCGAGAGAACTTTAGGAGAGAGGAGTTCATAGGTTTTTGTTATTTTATTATTTTATTTTCTTGATTTTCGTGTGAACTCCCCCCATAAACTCTCAATGGGGGTGCTCTAAGGCTTCTCTGCTAAAGCATATAGAATGTGTATCAGTGTAGTATTTAAGTTTATGCATTGGTTTCTAGTTTCTACTAACACTAATTTGATTAAATATGTTTTTGATTTACATTATACATTTGATCTGATTGAAAACCAAAACCTTTTGCATATATAATCTGAATTTTTATTCAGGAATTATCCTTACTAGTTTTTTTCTAAGTCAAAATGTACTGTTTTTTTTTCCAAAGCATTTAAACAACATATAATGAAACTTTATATCTGAATCTGAGTACTGTGCATTGCCAACAACTTTGGATGATGTTTGTTTCTTACAGATTTTTCTTCTTCTCTTTTTTGATACATATTCAGTTATTCACCAACCGAGTACTAAATTACAAGAACACATTCGGGGAAAATAAAGTTGCATTAAAATATAGATATGTTTTCAACAATAATTAGTCAGTTTGATTTATGGTTTTCCATATATCGAATACACTTAAAAATCCCCTTTAAGGGGAGAAATGTTGTGAACGATGACCAAATGTTAAAAGAGAGCGAAAAGTTAATTACGAGAAAGACCATTGTTATACAATATATTTAATCAATTTGTAAAATTATTTAATGAAGAAACTCCAAAGCTGCGTAGTAGGCGACGAGCACTGGTAAAGAGACCAACATCCCAAATATCACCCTACATTTATCACAATTTTAAAAACTGAATTATATGTAACCAAAAAATGATAAAAAAAAAGTTGACAATCTTTTCTGATTTAAACTTACGCTGTGCTTAGAACGTCTGCATGTAATCCATATTCCTTAGCAAAAATGAACGAGGTGATTGATTGTGGCAGAGCAGCCTGTAATTACATAAGCATTTTATCATTAAACTCAAAACAAATTAAGTTTTGTATCTTCTGAAACGTGAAAATATCAAGTTTGTATCCTAGCAGCTAGTGGATGAAAGGAATGATTTGGTGTATCAAATTTGCTTTAAAATTAGATCAAACTAAAATAAAACAAAAGTTTCTATTTCCTTTGCTTTCCGTCGACTTATAAACAGAAAAGGAAATCACAGTAAAACTTGATCAGTTCAACATAGAGAAAATATAAAGACAATTAAGGATAGTGACCTGAATGATGGCAACGCGGAGGACATCCCCGTGGAGACCAACAGCGATAGAACCAATGGCCATGGCGGCGGGTCCGGCAATAAACTTCAAGACCATCCCCAACGCAGTTTTTCTTGTTCCACATACTATCAACTTCTCTTGCAGTGCCATAAATATCCCTGCGAGTATATAATCATTTTTTTTTGTCATAATCAATTAATATCTCAGTATGGCTAGGTAATATTTACATGATAAGTATCTGAACATAAAATAAACGTACCCATACTGAACATGGCAGTTCCTGTTCCTGCTTTTGACATTATAAGAATCGATCCCTCCATTATTCCCGGCATCTCAAAATGCCACCTATTTTTGCATCAGTTACTAAAAAGAGTCAAGTCTTTGTTATACAAATCATGTTTATCGTAGTTATTACACTAAACAATCAAAACCCTAAAACATTTTTTTGTTTGGTTAAGACTCTAAGATTTTGGCCGGCCATGATATTATTCTTTGTATGTACGTTTGCGTATATGTTACCTTGTTATAGTGTCTAGAATATTATAATTTGGAAAAGCTAACTTAGATATATACAAAGAAACAATCGTGTTCCATCACCATTTTATCATATGTTGTAAGGCACTAGACAGAATTTTTTTTTGCTAGTCTCGACGTAAAAAAATTTAGATGTTTTCAGATAGTTTTATCGGTTATTCAGATGTTAAAGCTTAGTGTGATCACACATTCCTAACGTTTGATTGTATATTTCATAGACTTAGCTAGTATATACTGTAAAGATTCAGGTTTACCTGCTAGATATAAAAGCCCATGCGATCCCAAGGATGCAAGAATAGCAATTTGGATTCGTTGCAAGCTTCAACCACACGACGGACATCACCTCAACGAACGACTTCTCTTCTCCTACAACCACAGTTTCTTTACTGCCATCTTCTATATTGATGTTTTCTGCCTTATTATTACTACTAAATCCGGCTCTTCTAAGCTCTAACACAAACAACAAGAGTGTGAGCCACACGATTGCCTGAAACACCGAGGACTGGACCACGAGATCAACAGCCTCTTGTCCGTACATCGCCTTAGCCAGTGGTACACCCACAACAAGAGAGTTTGTGAGAGTGCATAAAGAGAAACTAGTGATGGACCAACAATAGCTTCCTTTGTTGCTATATTTGGCCCAAAACGCTAAAACCGCAACTATGATGACTTTAGAGAGTACATCGGCTGCGATGAACCGGTAGTTTAGGTTGAATGGGTCGACATGAGCCGTGAACTCGATGGTGAAGAGCGGTAGGGTGAAATAGCAAACGAGACGGTTTATGGCATCACACTGATCACGAGTGAAGATGTGCCACCATTTGACCGAACCATAGCCTAAGATTAGAGCTACATAGAGTGGAACCATTGCTTCGATGACCTTGTAAACATCTCCTCCGGTAATCATAGTTTTACTAGAAAAAGTGTTTTAGTTGTGCTGAAAAGTTTTGTCTCTGGGACTTAGAAGTATGCAAGTATTAAGCAAAGGGAGAGAAACTGAAGATTGTTAGGTTATTTCTGTAGATAGTGAATGTGGTAAGACATAAACAAACATGTTCATATTTATAGAGACGTTTTAAGTTATTTTTTAAATGAAGAAAAAAGTATATGAGATATCCATGAGTAGTATAATATAATTCAAACAAAAGCACGGTTTTTGGCATACGAATAGTAGATTATTTTTTGTTTAGATGATGGCTACCAAGTATTTATAAGTCATATGGCATAATTCCTATAAAATAATTGAGCATTTAACTTGGACATATATTAGCCAGTAGTTTGATAGAGAGAAGCAAGAAGTTTAATAGAGAGAAACAAGAGTTTTCATTATCAGTGTAATTGACCAGACCGTGCCCTAGCATTTGATTCTATTCCAATTGTTTCCTCTATATATCAAGTAGAATATTTGTGTATGACGTAACACTTCTTTTACTATTTGACTATTTTGATAAATATAAAAATAATTGATGATAATGTGGCAGAACACATAATGAGGTTGCGCTTGAGCCCCAAAGTCGCACTTAATTTGGACTGTGAGATCGCGTCTCCCAATTTTCAGCTGTTGGGTTGATGGTTCTTTAGGATTTGTGCTGGATCATGTAAATCGAAACATTAATGCTACCTTATTTGTAAATCGTAAAGGTAGTTATGTCGTAGTGGTATATATATTTCTTCTAAGTATTTGTGTGTGTTTAATATCAGTTAGCTGCATAATGATAATATTATCAGTTAATTATTAAAAAGTGTGTTTCCTAAGATCAACCACTATCAAATGAGCTAAAAATTAACCATAGGACTTCGACATGTACACCAATGGATGGGTTATATGCAATAACATTATATAAAGATGAACATATTAATAAACATATTAATGAACATATTACATACTATCTTCTAAGTATTTTTGTGTGTTTAATATCAGTTAGCTGCATAATGATAATATTATCAGTTAGTTATCAAAAAGTGTGTTTTCCTAAGGTCAACCACTATCAAATGAGCTAAAAGTTCGCATAATTGTAAACCATAGGACTTCGACATTTACACCAATGGATGGGTTATATGCAATAACATTATATAAAGATGAACATATTAATAAACATTTTTTTAAGACATATTAATAAACATATATTAATAGGTAGATTAGCCTTGACACGGCGATTATTACAACTGTAATACATATAAACGTGTCATAACTCATAACCATACAACCACATGTGAGCATTTCCAACTATTATTAACAATATTATATGAAACTATACTAACCCAAATCATATCTAATATAAAATTTGCATATTCTTTCAAATGGGAGAAGCATATGCTTTTTTTTTTTTTTGAACACCAAATGCTTATATTAAAATCAAAAGTCCAGAGGATCAAAATGGTTACAACCGGAGAGATCCTCAACGGTAAACTGATAAGCGAAGAGAACTAAAACATAACGAAAGATAGATATGACTAAGGAGAGAAGAGACCCGTAGAGAAGCTTCACTTGTAGTCCTAAAACCGGCGTTCGAAAGAACACAAAGAAGTCGAAAACGACGTTGTAGAACCCAACAAGTCGGTTTTGAAAGCGAGATGTATGTGAACCTCTGTAGAAAACAGCAGCTCCGTACAACCAATTCTGGGGAGAAGCATATGCTATTGCATGAAATATAAGCAAATTTGCATGGAATAGCTTAAATTACAAAATTGAGTATTTGTGCCCTACGCACCTGGCGTTAGATCCAACATCAACATCAAGTAGTAGGTTGGTGATTTGTGGTCTACCTCCGAAGATCTAAAACTTCGATGTTTACGAAAAACATACACTCACATCATAGTTCCTAAGTTCCTAACTAAGTTCTGTGACGTATATTTGTTTGTTTTTAAATCGCATTCATCAATCACGACAAAATTTTCTACGGCATATCTTCATGATAAGAAGATTGACATTAACTTAATTATTAGAGAATCACGCAGAGGCATACAATGTTCTGGAAAGCACATATTTTTATTTTCAGTTGATAATAACTTCATGTTTGTGGAATGGGATAATTAATAGTCCCCGTCTTTTCCAAGGATTTGGAACAAAGAATGAAATAAATAAATAAACATTATCGTCTCGTCTATGTATATAGTGCTGGACTAAAAACAAAGAAATTATCATTTTGACTGATGGAACAAGAATTAAAATTAGTGGATTAGAAATATAGGAGAACGTGGAGGATGCGTCTTCACTGGTGAAATTGATGAATCACACATATAAATGTAATAATAATGCTATTAGAATAAATTCTGTTTATCACTTGATGACTGAAATCTATTATAATATGCTTACATTTCTATAGATATGCTGACAATACAGTCATGTTAATATCGGAAAATTGTTCTAGTTTTCATTCATTCATCGTTCATATTTCCTTTATTCTTCTTCAGTTATGTCTAAATTGCTAGCATGATCTAAAAGTTTATTCCAATTCCGTTATAATTTTTGGCACTATTTGACGTCATAATATTATTTTCCCAAACCAAAAATATGAAGTTTCTGAATCATACATCTGCTAAATCCTAGAGTATAATATAATTTTTACAAACCGGAAAACATTGTACGTTTGTAATTAATCATCTTTCTATGATATCCTCAAAATTATATAATTCACTAAATAACTTGAAGGTTTGATATATGAATGAATATAGTATAATGTTATTTCAATTCAGTAAGTAGAAACGAAACCATCCATGCTAAAAGCTACAAATCAAATCAGAAGAAAGAACGAATGGAAAAGATGTTCTGATTTTGGTCGAAAAGATTATCACTTCCAATCATTAAAGACTAAAATTAGGTAGTCGTTAAAATAGATACCATACTACAACACTAGGTCGTATCCCTAATTATAAGTGAACCATACACACTAATCTTTCAAACATATCTGAATTAAAAAACTTATTACAAATCTTTTTAAAAGGCATTTGTTCTTTAGACTTGGAGAAAAGACAAGAGGGCTCCAAGTGCAGGTGGAATAAATCCTTTGTCTGAAACGACTTCACTTGTGTCGTTTCCTTTTTTCTTTTTTAATTTTTTATCTGTGTGGCTGATAAATAATCTGCTTCATCACTTAATATATGCTACAGCACCTACTTGTGTACTCATCGTGTTTTTATGCTGAGAACATTCGTTTTACAGAAGAGGAGAGAAGACGTTTATTAAGCAAGTAGAATGATTTAACATAAAGTCCTCAAAAGTATGAGCCACACACACCAACACTCTTTGATTTGGCATGTTGTCAAGATCATGAATTGGATGCACACAATTATTAAGTTACCAGCAAAGAGAGTTATTCATTTTGGTAAACTTACTATACTCGAGAACTTGAAGGAATCAAAGACCAAAAGCTTCTTTTCATTTTAAAACAATCTTATCAATTTTCCAAGATTAAGGGGAAACTGAGACAAGAAACTTTAGGGGGGAAAACTATCTGAAGACATACCATGTTCATCACAGCATATCATCTCCTTTTTCTTTCAAACAGCATATCCTGGGGGTTCTAAGATATGTAATGATGGAACTGAAATAATCACTTTGTTAGCTAGTTAGTGCAAAGAACAAGTTGGTCAAATTTAACTATCAGCATATGCACACCCTTTTCAGCAAATGTAATTAGAGTCAAACGAGTAGTAGATGTCGTCTCACCAGCTCTGTCTTTGTAGTTATTTCTTATCAACTTTGAGATTGGAAACTACAGTTGCACTGCAAAAACGCAGGCATGTTTGACTTAGCATGCTTTCTACTCAGTCTTCCCTCAATGCTTTGGCACCCAAAGCAAGATCATCTTCAACCATGGAACATGGTGCCTAGAACCATGAGGTTGTTGCCTAACATATATAGTTTGTATTCTCTTGGCAACCCACACATTTTAGGACAAAAGGTGATTGTTGTATCTTTGTGAACATACCAAATTGCTAGTAGTAGCAAATCTATGTTTATGATTCTCTCTACAAGATTGAAACCGCAGAACTGATCAAGAGCCAGAAGAAAAAAAGATAAGCAATAGATATTATCATTCAAAACTAACAAAAGATGGGTTTCATAAGTCAAGGTTTACATTATTGAAAAGTCTCACAAAAGCATGCTTATAATTAGATAAAAAAAAAGAGAAATAAACATGATGATAAATCCCTGAGACATGATATTAATAAGCTTAAAAGTGATAAAAGGAACCTAACCTCAGGACATAGATTCACGAGTTCAGCTTCAGCCGCTGGAGTTAACAGACTTCCAGAGCTGGACCCACTTGACCATAGCATCAGCAGCTTGAGTGAAGGCAGGATCATCTGAACCCAACTGCTCTTTCACTGCTTTAGCAAGCTCAACCACACAATCTTCAACGGTACGTGCACTCTCAGGCAGTTTCAAAGAGTCAAAAAACGGAACACTCTTCTCCATCAGCTTCATTCCTTCCCATTTCTTCCTCAAACTCTCAACCGCATCTCCTCTCTCGTTCCTCCACACATAAGGCAATCCGGTTTTCACACCATACCCCAAATGATCAGAGATATGTTTCAGACACATCCCGCACCAAACATCTTCAAGCGTTTCCCACCTCACTTTCCCTTCTCCAGCAATTCTAAGCGCAGGCACCAAAGCTGGTCCCACCAACTCACGGTTAAAAGCAATGTTGATCCCGCTTACCGGTAACATAGCCTTGAGAGGGACGGTCATAACCGCATCAACATACGAAGTGTTCCTCTGCTCTGTCTTGAGAGCTTGCGTTGGAGCATCAAGATCAGCCAAGTTAAGCCAAAGTCCACATGAAGCAGCACAAGGAACACCACTTCTAAGACTGAAAGGGTATCCACGCACGAAATCAGCTCCCTCGCAGTAAGGATCATAAAGGGTATTGAAGAAGAGAGGCGTTGCAGGATTCTCAAGGTTGCTCACATGCTGAGAGACAGCATCCACTAGTAACCCCTTGGGATCTTTAGCAGGGACACAGTCATCATCAATAGAGACAATGTACTTCTTTTTAGATACGAGATAACCGAAGTATCTGCAGGAATAGCCAGAGAACATGGTGGCATTGGATGCTCCCACGACTTTCTCCATGTCGGGCTTTGAGTAGATGTCTACATCAAAGCCTTCAGGTATGTTGAGGTCCTCCTTGAGCTCAGGGTCTTTGACGATGATCAGATGGAAACCGGTGAAAAAGGGTCTCCAGCTGTTGAGAAACTGTGTTAGGTCAGCGTTGAGAGCTCCGATGACAATGTCAACCTCGTTCTTGTTTATCTCAGACGAAGACATCTTTGAATATCAACAATCTTAGGCCTCAATCTTCTGCAGGGTACATCAAAAGTTGAACTTTTGTCAGGAAACTACCAAACAGCATCGAAAAAGTTAAAAACTTTACATAAGCAAATTATAAAAGAGAAGTAAAGATTAGATTTTTAGATCACAAAACTCATCAGTGGTTACTAGAGAAACAGATTCTGATACAAAAACATAGCCTAAGGCCTAATCAAGATCTACTTTTCAGTCAATTAAGGAACATTATAATTGAGGATTAAAATCTAGTGAGATCCTGCTATCAACAGAGAAACGTAATCATCTAAATCTATACAAAACAGAGCAAAAGGTCTCACATTTATTCAAATTAATAATTGAGAGATACCCAGAAAGAGGAAAGGGATTAACAGATCAAACAAAGCAATACCCAAGAGTTAAATAAGTGAATCGACGAGAAAACCTGAATCGAAGGTTTGGAGAGAATGCAGCAGATCCGAGGTTATGTTCTTCACACAAACTTTGTGTAATGGATTTTGATATTATCAGGTTTCTGTAGAATTGGTCTTAAAACGTCTCGCGCATTTGCTGCTGCGTCCCGCAATTCCCTCTTCTATCGTGCGTGTGCGTGTCGTAACGTTAGTGCGCGTCAACGTGTTAAAAAAGAAGACTCGATTATTAATTTAATTAATCCTCAATCCATAACCGAATCTAAACCGAATAGTCTGATTTTGGGTTTGGTTTGAACCGGGACTGAAGTAAATCATCACTCTGAAGACAAGCTTTTAAGCAGAAGACAAGTTTAATAATGTGATACTGATTCAGTTATTGTTTTGTTAGTAAATTAGATCCTAACAAAACTCAATTTCAATTCAATTTACCGACTCCTAACCAAAATCCACATGAAAGTCAAGAACCGGCTCATTAATTATACTCAAAAAGTCAAACACACACACGTACCGAACCTCAGATACCAAACCTATCCTAACAAAATGCAGGGTCTAGATTAGTCTTTCAGCTACTAGTAAACCAAAGCCAGATCATGATCAATAACCGGATCCATTAATTAACAGAAGTATTATCAAGAACGGATATACTCAAGAGCCAACACCCTTAATAACATCGATACCTCAATAATAAATTACTTCGAGATCTAAACCAAAAACCAGATCAAGAACTTGATCAATTAGTATACTAACCCGGTTCAAGATTAAACATCAACTCTCTTTTTATTTCCATTGAAGAAGACAAACAAGTCTCTAAAACAAACAACTCCAACTTAAAAAACATTACAAAAGTTACATTTCAAAACAAACCAGAAAAGAACCAAAAGCCACGTCATCATCAAATAGGCTGTGTGCACTTCTTCTGAGAATGACCAAGCAAATGACACCTTCCACACTGCACAATCCTCTTCGGTCTCTTCAAATTCTCAACCCTAACCACTTTCTTCTTCGGTCTCCCCGGCGGCCTCCTCGTCTTCGGTGGCCTCACCCTCATCAACCCTCCTTCTCCTTCCTCCTTCCACATCCTCCTATCCCCCACCTCCTTAATCACAACCGAGTACGTCTGCTGGTAACTCGAAACGGTGAAACACGGCTCCGCAAACATATGCACGTTCTGTCCACACGAGATCAACGCCGCAGCTGCGTGAGCACACGGTAAACCATACAGCTGCCAACGTCTGCAAGAGCAAGCACGTGTCCTTATATCAACTATGTTCGTTCTCTCTGTAGACACGATCTCAAACTCTACTTCGTTTGCTCTCAACACTTGGTAACACCTCGCGTCAGATACAGCTTCTGTGACCCTTCTCTCTGCTGAAGGGACGAGTATAGAGTTCAATCTTAGGCTCATGTCACGACGCGCTTCGAACCAGGACGATATCTGATGACGTATGTGTTCCATCATCTGTGTGATTGGGAGCTCATGACACTCCAACGCCCAGTTGTACAACACTTCAGTGATGCCTAAACCGAAATGACCGTACCGAACGCCTTGGAAGTAAGCAACAGCCCAGAGATGAGGAGGGAAGAGTTGGAACCATGGCACCACATCTTGTGATATCTCTCTCATTTCCGCAATCTTGCTCTCAAACTCAGCAGTTGTAAGCGCGTAGACAGCGTTCCAGAAGATATTAACCAGCTTAGTGTTCTTGAAAGTGTCTCTGAAATTCTCACTAACATAACGGAGACAGAACCCGTGGAAAGCCGTGGGGAAATGCGTCTCCACGGCTTCCACAACTCCGCTCTGTCTCTCCGAGAGTATCGTCAGCCTCGGCATGCTGTCTGTATTCATCCCAATAAGCTTCCTCACCTCTGACAAAAACCAAGACCAGTTCTCATCGCTCTCGTTATCCACAACCGCAAACGCTAACGGGAACAAACCGTCGTCTGCATCGACTGCCGCAGCGCATAAGATAGCTCCGAGGTACTTCCCTTTGAGATGAGCTCTATCAAGCTCAAGAAGAGGTCTAAAAGAACTGAAAAACCCGGAGATACAAGCTCTGTACGCAATAAACAGCCTCTGGAAACAACTCTCAGGCCCGGAAGCGGAGACAAACGCAACGCTCCCGGGGTTAGATAACTTCACCTGCTCACAATAAGCAGGAAGAAACCTATACCCTTCCTCATAAGTCCCATGAAGCGCAGCCATACTCCTCTCTTTCCCACGCCACGCTTGCATATAAGAAACCGCAACTCCATGCTCATCCCTTATGTCCTGCAAAATCTCTTTCGGTTTATACTGAGGATTATCTCTAATCCTCGCCTCTACCGATCTAGCAACCCAACCAACGGAAGCTTGCTGGTGATGGAGGTCACGGACGCCATCACACGTATGCTCACCGTTAAGCGTCCTCACGGTGAAGGTGGAGAGTCCGGGGCATTTGGCGGCGTGGATACGCCAGGGACAACCTTCTTTGGAGCATTTGGCAATGAATCTGCTACGGTCTGATTTGACGATGCGGAGATCGAAGTGGAGAGCGATTGCTAAGTCTTTTAGAGTTCTTCTGCAAGTTTCCACATCGGGAAACTCTCTACCGACAGCTAGAGGATGGTGATGATGATGATGTTCGGTTGTGAGGATGTTGTTGTCGGAGTCTAGAGTGATTAAAGCTGTTTCATCGGCCATTAGGCATTGCATTTGGACAAAAAGGGTTTTTTTTCTTTTGCTTTCGTCAATGCAAAAGACTTATCATCTTCGTTACCTACTAGGAAGAGAGAGACATAAAACAGAGTCAAAAGAGTGGAACTTTAATGGAACACACGAAACCCTAATTCCATAAGCTCAATTTTCAACAAAAGGAAAATCCTTTATGAGATCTAAAAGAGACCCATTTTCAGAATCAACAACATTAGAGAGATTACAGACGAAGAATTAAGATACAGAGAAAAGCTAAAATCACCTTTTACAGAAGTGGGGATCTTCGTTCTGGTGTTGGTTGCGGCAAAGACAGCGAGTGAATCGGGTTTGTTTCGAAGCTTGGTGAGTAAACAGCGGATAGACAAAAGTAGGTGTTTAAGACACCATGATTGCAAGCATCTATCTAGGTTTTTTTTCAGGTGTGGAGGAATTTCAGACGGCGACACGAGAGAAATGAAACAAAGGGAGAGATGGGGAAAGTGGAAGGTTAAACTATAGATTTGGACACGTGTCATGTTTTAAATGGTGTAATTGTGACATTATTATTTTTCCTTGTAGTAACGATAATCAGCTTCGATTGTTCAAAACAAAAAAAAATTACCAAAAAATAATACTAATAATCAAGTTCGTTGACATAAAAATGGATAATGATGTTTTAAATTATTTAGAAAAAACAACTCTAAGAGAGTACTGTCTTTTACTAAAACATAACATAAAAAAAAACACATAAGCAAATGCATTTGGTAAGTTTTTTTTTTTTTTGAACAACGCATTTGGTAAGTTTTGACAAGATAACAGACTAAACGATTTAAAATTAGAATGGAGAATATGATAAGAAGAATGGCTGTCCCATGCTTTAGGGATTTGAACAAAAGTTGAAAAAAAAAACTTGTGTCCCTTGATGTTATTCTGATTGGTTCTCTTTGTTCCTCCTCTCTCTGATTCTTCTCCTCTCGCTTCCTTCCTCTGTTTTGTTTCATTACAATCTCAAAAAACAAAATTATTACACTTTAACGTGGGTCCTTCAACCTTCTTGAAGGACCCCGCCATTGTCAATCCCCTCAACAAAGAATTTCCATTTTTTTTAATTGTGTTTTAGGCTCTTTTTAGATTCTTACAATCATGAATTGTTTCCCGTGTTTTAATTCACATAGGAACAGAAACATTCCTTGTAAGAACGAGTCTAACAAACACGATCAAAACGAATTCAAACCACCTGGTAATCAATCATAACGTTTTTAAAGCTTTTTACATGTTTTTTTTTTTAATTTAACTTTCTTTTCCCGCGGCTTTTTGAATATGGAAAACACATTTTCTTTGGTTTCAGTGGCGACAACAAAACATATAGAGGAAAAAGAAACAGAGCAAACGTCGTTTAAAGCGTTTAATTTTCGAGAACTAGCGATGGCGACCAAGAATTTCCGGCAAGAATGTCTTATAGGAGAAGGTGGATACGGTAGGGTTTACAAAGGAACCTTTCAATCTACTGGCCAGGTTTGTTACTTTGAATACATTTTTTTATATGAATCACCGTTTTAATTCTATTGCTTTTGTGAGAGTGTAGATGATAGCTGTGAAGCAGCTAGACAGACATGGACTACATGGTAACAAAGAGTTTCAAATTCAAGCCTTGTCATTAGCTAAACTCGAACATCCAAATCTCGTCAAGATGATAGGTTACTGCGCTGATGGAGACCAAAGGCTTTTAGTCTATGATTATTTCTCTACAAGTACCCTTCAAGACCATCTCTACGGTAAATAAAACATTCATCTTCTTTAAAACCTTTTTTTTTTACTTAAAACTATTGATAATGGGCTTTTGATATGAAGAGCATAAGCCCAGCCAAAAGCCCATGGATTGGATAACGAGGATGAAGATTGCATATGGTGCAGCACAAGGATTGGATTACTTGCATGATAAAGTGAACCCACCAGTGATATACCGTGACTTGAAAGCTTCTAACATTTTGTTAGACGATGAGTTTTACCCTAGGCTTTGTGATTTTGGTTTGCAAATTCTAGCGCCTGGGACTGGTGACAGCTTGTTTCTTTCTTCAAGGGTTATGGACACTTATGGTTACTCTGCTCCTGAGTACACTCGAGGAGATGATGTCACTATCAAATCAGATGTTTATAGCTTTGGAGTTGTGTTGCTCGAACTCATCACTGGTAGAAGAGCGGTTGACACCACTAAACCTAATGATGAACAGAATCTAGTTGCTTGGGTAACACTCTACATCTCTCCCTTGTCTTTGAACTAGGTCTTGGCACATTTATCTGAAACTAAAGACCCAAACCAATTGTCCAAAAAAAAAAGAAAACTAAACCAAAAAACGAGTTTCGTTTCAGGTTTAGTGTCCTATCATTTACCCATGCGGATCTTCTATCTATAGAACCGAAAATCTAATAGATATCGGAATTTGTATACTATAATTTATATACTTATACATAGTAATTATATTTTATTTTAAATAATCAAATAATCTAAAAATATTATCTATAAACTGAAATTCAAAAAGAATTATCTATAAATCAAAATACAGAAAAAGATTAAATACCAGACTACTTTTATCTGAATTTTTCACATTTTTATCCGAAAGCCCAAAAAACTTGAATTTCTGATTTTCAATTCGAACTAACCGAAAAACTGGAACCGGTTGAGATTCGAAGTTACATTGTATATTAGCCGGTTCTCATGGTTAAAAACTGGAACCGGTTGAGATTCGAAGTTACATTGTATATTAGCCGGTTTTCAAAAAAATTCTCTGCGCCAAACTGAGAACCAAAATGACTGAACCAAATTTTTTAAATACTGAACGGCTACTAAACCTCTAGAACCAAACCGAGAACCAAATGTCATTGGCTAGTAAACCTCTAGAATCAAACTGAGAACCAAATGTATGGCTACTTTGAACCATTAAATTTGGTATCTGTTTGATGATGTGTTTATGGTTTTTTTCGCAGGCAACACCAATATTTAGAGATCCAACGAGATATCCGGATATGGCAGATCCTCTCTTGAAGAACAGTTTCTCAGAGAGAGGGTTGAATCAAGCAGTGGCAATAACATCAATGTGTTTACAAGAGGAACCAAGTGCTCGTCCATTGATAAGCGATGTAATGGTTGCGCTTAGCTTCCTTTCCATGTCTACAGAAGGTGTCCCAGCCGCGGTTCCAGTTGCATCCTTTAGAGACAAGAGTATGTCTATTGCTTTGAGCAGACACGGTTCTTGTTCTGTGGTTCCCTTTTCACTTTCTCGGAGAGAGGAAAGGGACACATCTAGTGTTTCATCATCAGACTCAGAAGATGAAGAAGAAGAAGAAGAAGAAGAGGAAGAAGAAGAAGAAGAAGAATCAAGAAGTATGAAGAAGCAAGAGGAGGAAACAAACGCAACTGATTCAGATGATGAGTCTGATTCAAACTCAGAGAAGGGACAAGAAGAAGAGGAACGTTCTCAGTTGGAGAAAGCTAGAAGCTCTAGGAGTTCATCTGACTCTGGAAGCGAGAGGAGAAGGTCTGTTGATGAAACTAATGAAGCTGCTCAGAGCTTGAAGATGAAGTATAGTTATTGCTCTGAGGAGGATGATGAAGAGAGGCTGAGCAGTAAAAGCAGTTGTAAATCAAATGATGAAAGCTTGCTTTCTTTTCGGGTTGACAGTAACAGAAATCACGATGATTCACCGAAGAACACAAACAATCTTGCTCATGATGATGATGATGATGATGAGGAGGAGAATCATGAAACTCGGCTTGAGCATATTCATAGCTCAAAATCTGAAGTCCAGAGTGTTTATTCAGACGATGATGCTGGGGAGAGAAGTGGTGAGTCGTCTTTGCGTCGGATTGAACCAGAGGAAGAGGAAGAGGAAGAAGAAGAACACGATTCTTCAGATCAAGATTGAATGTTTTCATGAGTTTTTTTTTCTCGAAAGTTGTTGATTAAGAAAGTTTTCATTGAACACATTTGCAACACGAAAATGTTTCAACTTCTCTTGTTTTAAGACAACCCAGTTGTTGTCTCATGAATTTAAGATATTTTGAGAAGTATGAAACTTAAAACACACTTTTACGTATATATTTTGAATACTGTATGTTAGGAAAAAATATTTACAAATTACATTATCTAACCTTTATTTGGTAATGTTTCATTAGGTTAGAGGCCAACGTTATAAACTTGCAAGTTTATAATTGGTTATACAAAATTACTCTAATAGAAAACATCTTCTTTTGTTTTTTTTCCTAAGGATATTATGGTTTCATTGGTTACTAAATAATATGTTTCATACGTTTTCTAAACGGTAGACTTGGTGTGATTTGTTATATATTGTAGATATGAGTTGGATCTAGGGAGTACATTTTTAAATACTCTTAAGAAAAACCATATTTGCTTTACCGATTTAGATAGACTCTGATGACAGTCAATTATTTTGATGGCTCCTTCTACACTTGTGCTATATACATATAAATAAACGTTCAACTATGTTTATTTTTTTCATGCTAAATGGTCAATTAATAATGGTATCAAACGGTTGAATAGGTGACAAGAAAATTTATATATATAGAGAAACAAAATGTACATAAAAAAAGGCATTAGCATCATAACATTTGGTGGCTGTATTCTGCAGAAAAAAAATGTCCAAATTTCTTAATAATATATTGCTTTGTTTGTAACACTAATAATAGATTGCTTTGATTCAAAGGGGATGTAACAGTTCATGTACATTTAATCATTTAAGCCATCATTATGCATACATTATAGAGTTCTTGAGTATTCATTATAGACTCCATCTGAAGGTAAACTTTTTCTTTATTACAGGATTTTGTAAATAATAAAAATCAAGTATGTATAGTTTGGATAAGACTGATCAATGAAAAATGTAAAGATACAATTCAATTCCTACATGATGCATATATACGTATCACAGTTTAGAATTCACCATATTATAGTTGTCAAAATATCAAATATAGTGCAAAGGATACGTCACTAAAAAATCAGTATACCAAACAGTAGTTGAGCTCAATTCAAAAAGAAAAAGAAGAAAACATAACTAATTAAAGCTATCACTTTCTTTCTCTAGCGAACCGTAACTTCATATGCACACGTTAACATCATTGTAGCTTCACAACAAAGCCATAAGAATACATAACACGACCACCACCAAATTATATTCCAACAAAAGTTTATAAACAAAACAAAATAGATCATTACATTAAAAACGTTTGGTGGGTTATCATTTTCATAGTATATATACACAAATACTCTTATAAGTATAGTAAAAGGAAAGGCTTGGTATAGAAAATGAGAGATAGAATGGAGAGACTTGTGGTTTTTCCTTTCTCCGTCGGATGTATCTCCGACTCTAGCGTCGACGTTTTATCTCCTCTCTCTAAACATCATCATCGTTCTCCTCAAGGTTCTTTATCGATCTCCCTCCACATATATTTTGTTAATTATCTTCTATGTGATAACATCTTGATGTATATTTTTCAAAAGGGATTCGTGACCAAGAAGAGGAAGAAAACATGAAGAATGTATTCAAGTTCCTTGCGGTATCTAAACCGGAGATCTCTACCGGTATTAACCGGCTTTTTAAGAGCTTCAAGACCATTTCTCAACTCTTTGGTAATCTTATTTAATTATAGGACGCGTATTGTCAAAGTAAACACTTGCTAGACCAACTTTTATAAATGTTTTTTTGGTTTAATGTTAATAACGTATAGCTTACAAAGAAGAGGAGAGTGAAGAAGGAGAGACATCAGGGTTAATGGAGATAGGAGTTCCGACAAATGTAAAACACGTTTCGCACATTGGTTGGGAAAGCAGTAGAGAATGGAAAGATCTCATACCGCCTGAGTTGCTCGCAGCCGCTGATGCAAAAGAAGACGTTATCAATCCTCATCTTTTATAATTCACTTCCTCTATTTAAATTTATTTTTATGTTTTGTACACGAATCTAGACATACTTTGATACATATGGCGGATATGGGGATTATCTGATTTATAATATAATGTATGATATGCCGTATACATATTATTGGAGTACATAAATTGGTGCTATATAATGTCTAAATGTGTTTGTATGTGAATAGTAAGATATGAATATATGATATATATGCGCATATTAATGTTACTAAGTAATGTGAATGTTTTAGGTAGATAGATCGGTCATGGGCTGAGCCAAGTCGGATGGTTCCTAAAACTTTTGAAAAATTTACATTAACATAGCCTCAAATTTTGTAGGAAAAAAAATTCTCAAATCTATTTAAATTTTTGTCAAAATTGCCTAAAACCTCTGAAATCTCAGGACCGATTTTGGATTTAAGATATATTAAGCAGATTACAGTCATGAATTATTATAAAATAAAATAAATTATTTGAGACATTCATTCAGTAAAAGTTTTTTGTTTTGTGGTCAAATCATTCAGTTAAGTTTAAACTTATGTTCTGACACTATTAATGGCACTACTTAGGATTTTCATTTTTTGACACTTCAGATGATTTTGAAATATAATCAACAAAGAACTTGGAATGTTAAAAACCCAACTAAATTTGACTCTAGAAATTCATCTTATTTTAGTTTATTGTCAAAAATATATGATTTTAACTTGTAGCAACCGTTGATTCATGAACTAAACCAAAAATGACTTGCTGTGGAAAAAAAAAATAGAAAATTCTAAAATTTGACAATCTGCCTAGTCAAATAGATAGATTCGTAGGATGTGTCATAATCTGGGGAGATTACAGATAAAACATTCCTTAAAAAAGTAAAACCAAATCCAAAACCTTTTAGTGGGATGAATCCAACAAACTAATTTACGTTGTTATCTTTAAATTCCAGAGTAAAAATATATCCCTAAATCTCCGTTAATCTTTTTCAGTATTAACTAAAACCCACTTTTTGATGTGATTATCCCCACTAATCATTAAAGGTAAAAAAAAAAACTTTTTTTTGTTCAAGCAACTTTATTGATCTCTCTCTCTCTCTCTCTAGATTTTTGGAGGAGTTTTTGTTCTTGCTGTCTATTTCTCTCTCTCTCCCTCTATTTTTTTTTGGAGAGAGAAACAAGGTTTGATTTGGAGATTGATGGGTTTACTAATAGTGGATGATGATAACGACGGCGGCGAGGTTTTGATTCCGCCGAAGAATTTCTCGATGGTGGAAGACGGAATATACCGATCTGGGTTTCCTCAGCTCGAGAATTTCGGTTTCTTATCAACACTCAATCTTAAATGCATCATGTAAAGATTCTCTCTTTTAACTATGAATCTCCTTAGATAATAATATTTTTTATTAAAAGAATGAATCTTTCATGTTAAAGATTCTCTCTTTCACTCTCGTTGCTTTTAATTGGATGGTAAATAAACTTGTTGCTGAAATTGAAAGATTTGATTACAGAAACTAGTGTTTGTTTTATGGAAACAGTTATCTGTGTCCTGAACCATACCCTGAGGACAATCTCAAGTCTCTTGAGTCTAACAATATCAAGCTTTTTCAGTTCGGTATCCAAGGCAAAACGGTATGGTTTCTTACTTTTTTTTACTCTGCTTCATTGAATTGGATCTTAACAGCTTGTTTTTGTTTTGCACTTTACAATGTCTTGTTCCTGTAAAGTCTTGTGTGCTTAGCTTCCTTTGGTTTTCTGAGTTTGGTATTGTTTTTACGTCCCAATAGGATCCTCCAACTCCTATGCCAAAGGATACAGTCTTGAGTGCTCTTAGAGTACTTGTTGGTAAGGAATCAATAGAGACAGAGACCCTCTGATGTCTTAGTAGCTTCCCTTTTAGCTGTCTCATTTAGTTTCTTATGTTTATTTGCTTACAGATGTTAGAAACCATCCAATTCTCATCCACTGTAAGCAAGGAAAGGTAAACCCTAAACCCTTTGATTCAGTTTCAGAATCTCTTGAGTTGAGAATAGGTCTAATGGCGTTTCTGTGTTTTGGTTGGCTTAACTGCAGCATAGGACAGGTTGTCTTGTGGGATGTTTGAGGAAAGTGCAGAACTGGTGCTTATCCTCTGTTCTTGAGGAATACCAGAAGTGTGCGGGCTTGAAATGGAGGCAAAGAGATTTAAGGTTCATTGAGGATTTCGATGTGCACGGATTAAAGCAATGCCTATACAGCATAATCTACCAGTACAATGGATATGGTCTCAAGAGGAGAAAGTTGCTGTATCAAGAAGAGAATGTTGTCCAGGAACAGCATAAACCTCAAGCTACCAAAGGGTGAAAAAGAACCTTGAAATTGGAGGATTATATCTTTTTTTAAAAAATCTTCCTAGATTCTTTATACTTGTCGTGATGGTGATTCTTTTGAGTTTAGGGTTCGAACAGAGGATTTTATCTGAGTCTCTTTTTCTTTTACCACATAGAGAAAATTACAGATAGAGATTATAGAGAAACTAACAAAAACATGTTGCTAAAGATACTCGGTAACATCAGTCATGTAGACTAGAAAGATGTTATGTTACAAACTGGCTGATCTTGTGTTCTCTCCATCCTCATTGTCTAATGCTAACCTAAACTTAAGGATCTTGTGAAGCTTGGCAATAGGTTCCACTGTCTTGTGTGGTGTCTGGTTTTCAGCTGCTACAACTTCTGCAAACAAACAAACAAAAATGGGTTAACACAACCCGGTTTTGGTAGCAAACAAGATGGTTTATGTTGGTGAGGAGGGAACATACCCTTATCAGAGAGAGCAAGACATGTACCAATTGTCTCCAAGTATTCTCCAACCTTTACCAGTTTGATTTTGCCATCAATGGTCAATACCGGATTCAAAGTATCCAAACTCTGAGAATAAAAAAACAACAACAAGTCGAAACTTAGAACATATTAAAGCCTATACAAGAACAAAAGCACCAGAAGAAAAAAGAAAATAGAGTTAACTGATAAAGTAAATGGAGCTTCTGATGGGATGTCAATGTGCCTCGCAACATGGTCAAGATCAATCAGAACATACTCCTCATCTTCTTTAGTGAGCTTCACTGATTCATCATTATCATTCATCTCGCAAATACGTACAACTCTAAGTGAAGTTATTGAAAAACAAGAGGAAGTAGCAGAGTGACGAAGAAGAAGTCTGCGTCTTCTACATAAGAATTGCCCTTTAATGGAGACAGGGATATCATTACTGGGCCCATATCAAATGAATCCCAATATAACAATTACTATTAAAAAGGCCCATTAAAGCCCGAAAGAGGAAACCGGGCAAGTAGGGATGGGCGTTCGGGTACCCGTTCGGGTCGGGTATTTCGGGTTTTCGGGTATTTCGGTATTAGGGTTTAGAACCCGTTCGAGTATTTTTACATATCGGGTCGGGTTCGGATATTTTTAGTTCGGGTTCGGATATTTAGATTTTGGAAGAAAAATTTCAAATTCCTTATTACTTAAGTTTTATGTATTTAAAATTTAACTATTAACTTAACTGTTTTTAAAATGTTCAATAAGTGAGACAATTAATAAGTTTGAAAATAAATTATTGAAAATAAAAATCATTATTTTGGTTGTTATTTTCGAATTTTGGATGTAAATTAAAGTATGAAATAAGAAGCTTAATATGTATTTTAAATAAGTAACAAATCACTTTTTTTTTTTACAATTATATGTATATTATCTGATATTAAACTATTTATAACATTAATATAAATAGTTTTAATAAAATGAGACAAAATAAATTAGGAATAAATAGGTATATATACATATATTCGGTTATTTTCGGATACCCGTTCGGGTTCGGATATCCAAACTCTCCTAACTCAATACCCGTTCGGGTTCGGATATCCAAACTCTCCTAACTCAATACCCGTTCGGGTATTTTGGTACTTCGGTTCGGATATCGGTTCGGGTTCGGGTACGAGTTCGGGTATCGGATAAGGTGCCCACCCCTACGGGCAAGGGTCGTCTAACATTATTTTGTTGACCGGCAAAAACTCCATGGATTAAAGAAGTCGTGTTCTGGTTTCACATCTCAAAGTAATAGTTGAGTATTCGGATTGTCGTGTGATAAGAATGTGAATGACTATCGTGTGGAAATTGCGTTTCTACCTGTGCCACCAACCGAAGAATAATACACACACGAAAAGCTATAAAAGCATTTGATTCTGATTACTCAAGTCGTCGGAAAGATCAGATACTATCTCATCAGAGTCTTATTTCAATTTGATTCGTATTAAAGAAAAAAGTAGCACATGTTCCATCCTCAGGCGCTGCACAATCTCAATCAGGATTAGAATCCATCCTTTTTCTAATGAAAATAAGTCAAGAACGAATCTAACTCGTCCGGATGCTTACAAAGCTTGAAATTGGACAAAAAAAAAAAGCATATGCATGGAAGACACAATTGAAATGGTTCTTTAAGCTTTTTCAGACATCAAATCGAAGTACTGATCTATTGTTTGGTCAGAAAGTACAACTCTTCTTCCTCATATCCTCACAGACTACAACAGAATAATTGGCTTAACTAACATGTCTGCTAACAAACATAGATGCTTGAGCTATAAAGACAGACAGATTGAAATCAAAAGAACCAAACCCAACGCTCGTTTCACCAAAAATCAACCAGATGGGAGAACATTTGCAACTAACTACAAACAAAGTATCCAGAAAATAAGAACCAAACACAAGACATAAGTTAGAAACACAAAATTTATAAAAGATATCATTTTGTTTTATATAATAGCAAGCATCATTGCAGTTTTTTTCATATTATGACATCAACAAACTTTGAAGAAAACCCATAAATAAAGATGACACCTTTATATTTAAAAAAAGGTAATTCGATACAAACCCCTCACACAATCACATGATCACTTCTTGAGGCTTCCTCTGATTCCAGGTTTAGGTTTGGACGATTCAGCGGGAGCAGAAAGAGCCTCGTGGAGATTCTTCGGCTCCTCGTAAGGCAACTTAGGATGCTTCGATTCGTGATGGATCTGCATCGTCTTCAGATCCGGCGCCGTGATCTTGCAGTGAGGACACTCGTACTTCGCGTGACCTCCTTTCTCCTTCCCGGTTCTGTCCGCGAGCCCTGCCTTTCCTCCTCCTCTGTTGGTTAACGCTGCGTCGGCTTTGGCTTGGAGCTCCTTCGCTGTGTGCTTCTTTGGCTTCGCTTTGCCTGTCATGGTTTTGATTTGGCGGCGGTGGTGATGAGGAGAAAACCCTAACCCTAATTTGTTTGATTTGGGGGAGGGGGGCGAGGAGAGGAGAGGGTTCGTTTCGTTCGATGTGAGATTATTTATCGGCTCGTTAAAAAGGAGTATTAAAAATAATAAAATGGTATATAGCAAAAGGTGTTTATAGAGTGCAGTACGGTGCATAGTATGACTTTTTGATCATATTGGTTCTACAGATACGTGAATGACACGTGGTAAGATCTAGAGTCCAGTTATTGGTTCTGTGTTTTATTGAAATTTTTGTCTTTAAAAAAATATTCAACCCTGATGTGGGCTGGTGTTATTTATTTGGACTTGACGGCCCAACTTTATAAGCAAAATAGAAACAGTCTTTTTTTTTTTTTTTTTTTTTTGTCGTCACAAAATAGAAACAGTCGTATACCATTATTTTGGGTTATGACTCATGATAATCAATGAACCATGGTAAAACTGAGATCTATAATAATAAAGTTAGATATCTGCCCCCACAGTCATCCACGTCACTCTTTTGATGTGGGGGTTTTATGACATGTGTCAAGCTTGGATTGGCCATCATCTTTCGTTTTCTTTATTAAGGTGTTGGGGGTCCAATCTCATATTTCAACGAAATAAACCATTGAGATTCAGAGCCCAAACCCTTATCTTCCTCGCCGTCTCAGCTTCGCCCTTCTACCTTCCCCTTTTGACAATAACAATTATCAGACGTCAAGTGGTGTTAATCTCTGGGTCCATCCACCATCACCATTAACATCCACCATTAATTAGCTCTCAAACATTGAACCACCATCACCAAACTCTCTTGGGCTTTCTACTCACCCAATCTATATAAACCAAAGAGTTAATAACTCTCCTCCTTCCATAGCAACCACACCTCAACTTATACCGATCGTACGTTTCTTTGGGTTTCTCTATTGCATCAATTTGTCGGTTGACTACTTTCTGTCTGTTCTTTGACTGAGTTTCGCTTCATTGCGGTTTCAGTGGCTCTACCTGAATTTAGGTCTTTCTTAGTGTAAGCTTTAGATCATGGGTTTCATGGTTTTAGTTTATTAAAGCGTGCACTGATTCGTGTTCTGATGATTTTATGTTTCTGATGCAGAAAACTCAGATCCAGTTTTGGCTATTTGAGCATACATGAGGATTAAGTAAAGAATTAATGTAAGCTGTAACATATTCCTTTGCACTGCGCATTTTCTAGCTATATATATATTGGTAACAGAGTGCCATAAGCATGAACTATGCAATTCCTCACTTAGTTTTTTTTTTGGAACAAATTCCTCACTTAGTTTCCTTGAAATAAAAGTAAGTTCGAAAACATCAGCACTGTGACACCTCTCTAACTCAGTTTTAAGAAAATAATGTTTCAGTCCTATGATTTTGTCCAAAAATCAAGCATTTCGATTCTGCTGTTTTTAGGTATTGTTTATCTTTTTATTTGTTGATGTTTGAATCTAGAGAGGATATTAATCCTTCTAACTACCATGATTCTTTGCTATGGTAAGTCTAATTTGACTCGGTTCCATAATATTTTCAGATACTTTTAATGTATTTTTCCAAGTACCAGGTAATAGGATTATCTTATAGAGGTCTTAGTGGAAATTAAAACTTTATAAATCATGATGAAAACGTTCGGGATGGTTGTGATTGTTGTTTTGATGAGCGACTATGACCAGATTACAATAGACGGAACCAACAAGATGGTACTCACCAGCTACGATTTTCTTCGGGAGAAAGTCGAAACGAGTTTTTTGACACACTACAAATGTTTCCAAGATTTCAATTATGTGGTCTGTTGTCACCGTTCCAATAGTTGAAACCCTACTTTGGATGAGCTCACGTTCCGTTACATTGCAGTTTAGCTGGCGGGATTACTCTACCTTAATCAGGGAAAAAAATTGTTTATCGAGCAAGAGTTTGGACCCTATCCCTGTTGACTGCTCTCTCAAGATAGCTATCGAGATTCTGAAATGAAGTGAGGAGAGAATCAACAGTTGCAGTGAATACTCTTTGTATAACACTAAACCAAGTTACTTCTCAAATTCGTGTTTTATTTAAAAAGTATTATGTAAATTGTTTTTATTCTTTAAATCAACCATTAAAGCTTAATTTTGATAAGGTAGGTTCTAACATACAATACTTATCTGCTTACCCCACCTGGAATTCATCGGCAGAAAAATTATAATGTTCCTCCAGTTTGTCAAACAAAACTACCCATTCTTACTACCTTTGAATGTGGAAGTCATATTAATATATTTCAGTGATCCACTTCTTTAAGGGTTGATGGCGCACACACACGCACACATATGTAGGAATAAGGAATATATTAATTAGTCTTGACTTCATAACGGTCCACACTTAAAGAGTTTTTTTTTTATAACTTCCAAACTTAGAGTTTTAACTCTGACTTCACAAATAAGCTACCAACTTCCACAAATACACTTATTTATAAGTGAGATGGCTAAACTATCCAATTTAATTATCTTAACATCTAAACTAACATTTTAATGAAGATGATAAATAACTTTCGAACTGCATTTAAAAAATGTTTTCCATTTTTGGCTCTATAACAAAGAAAAACAATCATTCATCAAGTAATCATATAAAAGTATAGGCTATGATTACAGATTGTCATTCGTATTCATTTTTGTGTTCTCTAATTCCACTAAAATCACAATTTCTCCATTCTCCATTCTCCATTGTTACATGTCGATATTATTTTTTATTTATTTCAAATTATTAACATCTCCTTCTCCCTTTATTTTCCAATTTTTTGTTTGAACTATATAAGTTCCATATTTTTTTTAAAGAATATAAATTTGATTATAATGCTGTTGTGTAAATTATTTTGTATTGAGTTTTGGAGCTGAAAAAAATTAGAGAAGCGTAATAATACTTCAGTAAACTTATCCAGTTTTTTTAAACTCTAAAATATATAAATTGCAACATTAAAAATAATAAATTAGAATTTAAATTTTAGTTCTTAATAGTTTTTAGATGTAATAAAAATTAGGACTAAAATGTCTTACCAGTTACACATACATGGTAGTTTTAAAAAAAAAAAATTGTAATTTGAAAAGTTAAATAGTAAATAGGGTATCTATCAAAGTTTAATCTTTATTTTAATCTTGAATTAGACTCTATATTAGATTTTACTGGTCTTCGACAAGAGAGATTCTTAGATACATACAACATTATAGTGGTACATAAAAAATAAATAAAATGTGTCCGGTGTGTTGGTGTTCATTGAAAATTTACCAATCACCCACACAAACAGGCAAATATAATAAACAGTTTTTAAAGCTATTTAACTTGCAAATGTTTTCATTTTTAAACAGAAGCAGAACATGTAGTAAAGAGTAAAAGAGATTAACTGGTTGGATGATCAACACCAACACTACAAGAAAACTAAGCCATTACTAGGAAAATTTACTAGGAAAACATTTCCTCGTAAAAATACTACTAGTTTACTTCGACTTTACGAGGAAACATCTTTTCCTCGTAAGGTTCTCGTAAACTTACGAGAAAAGCGTTTCCTCGTAAAGTGGAAGTAAATTTACGAGGCTCTTACGAGGAAAATAATATTTTCCTC